ATATGCCTGCCATCTCCACTGCAAAAACAAGTTTTTTGTGATGTGGTGGAAAATTCTTCTTACGCTTCCCGAAGATTGAACAAACGTGAGTAATTAAGTTGCTTCAAAATAAGCTGGAAGAGCTATTCAAGTCTGGCTTCAAAATCGCCACTGACGCCTCAACAGACGAATATTTCACCAAACAAGAGTTCAGCTGAAAACGCACTTGAGGCTGCTGATCGACACTCAAAACAAAGGCACGGGGTGCAAGGATTGCCTGGACATGTACGTCAACAAGTACTGGAATGTACTTTTGAACTGCCGCGCCAAGCGAGCAAACAAACAACCTTCCAAAGTCACTGGGAAAAGATGCGAAAGCTGAAAAAGGTCACACACGGCTAGCACGTAGCTTATTGAGGCGTGCGACTCTGATTTACCGGGCAGTTCTTAGTTCCTACCAACGCCGCGAAAGCAAATAAACAAACGTGTAACGTGCAGTTAAAAAAAAAAAGTAAAGCTTTTTTTATATATAGTTTCGTCGCGTTGCTTCCGTTTTTTTTGACTCAACATCAATGGCGAGCACCACCTGCTAAATTTCAATGCTCCTACCGAAGCCCCGTGCAATCGTTGTCGTTGGAGGAGGTCTTTGCTGGGTGATTTCTATCTTAGTATCGTATGCTAACTTCTTCGTTTGATTCGGCGTTGTTCGCGACTATTCCCCATTTTATTTCATTTTCGACTGGGATAGGAGCCCACCTTCTCTGCAAAGTTCGGAAAGTGTTTGCACGGTCATTTTTCTCGTTATTTTTTTTTTTTTTTTTGTAACACTGCAGAGGCTGGTGCGCGCGCTCTGGTAATTTCAACATGTTGTTTGCGCACATTTTAATAATCACCTATTCAGATAAAAAAATTGGGACCATGCAGTTTCTACTGGATAAACAGTAACCTCTTACGACGTAGTTCGAGCAGCTAAACACCTTTTTTCTGCTTCCCAGATGCGCTTCAAAGGCGCGTGACCCCCTGAATGGCGTTTGAGACATCTAAACAAACTACTCTTTCTTTGTTTATGCGCGCGTTGTATTTTTGTTTGTCGTTGCAGTTGCAATCAGTGGATTCCGCATTGCAAGCGCACTGACCGTAACGAAATTTTTCTGCTGTTGGGGTGACGAAACGGGGCAGGCAAAGCTCGAGGACGTCGCAGAGCCTAAACTTTTCCATTGCGTCGCCTGCTTCCGTAGACTCCCAGTCCGCTAGAGGCGCTACTGTCACATTCGCCGCCGCTCCCATACGTTTTCGGAGGAGTTTCCAGTATTGGCGAAGCTATATCGTATTTCTTGACACTATCAAATATCTCAACGAAGGCCGTAGTGCTGGATTGTTTTTGCCACCCATACAGAGGATACAGATCGGACAAAATTGCCGCGTCAGTGTTGGCCCGGAACTCGTATTCAGTTAGGGGCAACGACGATTCCCAGCCGAATTTTTGACGCAGCACTCGTCTTCCATCTACGCCCAGCGCCAGTCTTCCTTTGGTTGCATGAATATTCGAGCGCTTCGGCCTTCTTTGTGATGCTGAATGAGCTCGACTTGAAAACGGGGCTAAGCCTACGGGCCGGAACCGTAGGTCCATTTTCTGTGTACCTGGATACATGGCTTGCACTGACTTTATACCAGTTGCCATTGTTGTGGTCCTGCTGCACTTCGGCCTTTGAGTCTTGAATCGATTCATCTTGGGGGAAGGGCCAAGCGTAAAGGCCGGAACCGTTGGGTCACGCCTCTATACTTTAGTTATCTTTATAAACGGCTTGCAGTACCATCACACAAGCTGCCATTGTGGCCACCTCACTGCACTTCGGCCTTCCTTCGGGTGTTTATTGGGTTCAGCCAGACGCCAGGGTCGAGCCTACGGGCCAGTAGCGTAGGACACACCTCCCATGATTTCGCCACTTGTATGGCTTGCACTACAGCCACACGAGCTGCCATGGTGGTTGCCTTGCTGCATGAGCAAGTACCTTTTTCGGCAAGAACGTAGGGATGACAACCAATAATTTGTTTCTTTCGGCGAGTACAATTAGGAATAGGTACACCGGCGTTGTGCGAAGACGTCACTTACAAACTGTGTATTGAGTGCGATCAGGTCATTACGCTTGCAAACATCGCGGCACGCTATCGCTAACGCACGACCCGTACATTCCGCAGGTTGAGACTACCCTGCAGCTGCGCAGCATTCTACAACAGGTGGCGCTGTCCCTCGCCGTGGCCGAAGCGGCTCTGCAGTTCGAACACAGGGATCTCAGCCTGAGTCACGTGCTCGTGGACGAGACCCAGTTCCAGCTGGCCCAGTACTGCATCAGCGGCAAGAGCGTCTTCATCAACACCTGGGGCGTCGCAGCGACCATCATCGACTTCGCCGCGGCCAGAATCCGAGAATGCCAGTGTAAGATATGCATAGACCAACAACACGCTGTTTATGGTGAGCGCAAGTTCGTCGACTTCTTTTGCAGGGGTTGTGGTGACGTCATGAGGGTTACCCACTATCCTTCAATCAAAGCCAATCAGAGCTCGGCGTTCTGACGTCACCACAGCCCCTGTAAAGGAAGCAGAAGAACTTGCGCTCCGCATGAACGACTCAGCATTTGCCCACACCAGGTGTGGGAATTGCGCCTGCGCATTAACCAGATCACAAGTGGAGGGAAGCGTCTGTGCGTCCGCCGTGCCGACCGCTGTACCACCGCAGCGTAACGATGCCAGAACAGCGTGTTGGTGTATGCATAACGATCATTTGTAGTCGCGCGGCGAGTTATGAAACCGCCACTCTCTCGAACAAGCCTTGTTGCATTTCTGGTCATCATCTACGGCACTCTACTTTTCAGAGCGTAAAGCTCTGAAAAGGCAGGTGCCGCTTTGAAGCGTTCAGAGCGGCACCCGCCGTAAAAGAAATAAACCCATCAAAATATCAACGTTTTGCATTTAAAGATTTAATACTTGATGATAAATATGCTTCGTAATATTTTTTTTTTGTTGGTATTAGATAATTCGGATTGTACATATACTTCGTATAAAACACTTAAAGTATATTTTAGTTCACGAAAGCTTCAGCATGGTATGTCGGTAATATGGACACCTCCGTTTTCCTTAAAAATATGTCCATAATCTGAGTAGTTCATAATAACGAAACAAAAATTCAGTCATTTACACTCTTCATCCCCGGAAATGTTGTCTATGCAGCGGGGTGTTTGTCCTAATGGGATCCATTATAGTGAGACATGACTATATTAATATATTTTTTTTATCTGTACACGTAAGATTTTAGTTTGAGTCAGCTGTAGGAACAGTTCACATATGTTCGCCCAACACGCCTCAGCCAAAAAGACATTTAGTACAGAAATGTATTTGAATGTATACTTCACATCTTGCAAACATATTGCAGTATGTATGATACACTTCAAACGTACTAGTGTAGTTTTTCTTTATTCACGAAAATGCAAAATTACTATACTTCTAGTGCATTGGATTACGACAAGGGAAATACCCTTCTTTTACAATCGTGTTCTGACGCAATATGGCCACTTAAATTTAGCTTTTCCAGCTTGCACTATCATTAAATTCTCACATAGGTCTCACCGCGTTACTTCATCTTGAACTTTTATGGCATTTCAGAAGTGAAGAGTCGATCGTGCATAGCTTTAATGGGCTCTCAGGATGCGCGAGCACATGTGCGCCCGTAGCGTTGGCTGCATATCCACAGAACGTTGCCCTCGACTATAGACAACGTCGCCTGGGGCGGCTTGAACTAAAGTAAGTGGATCCTGGGAAAGTAGCGCCAAGCTCTTTCTATGGTAGTCATATTGGTTCATAGATTGAGCAGTTCCTCCTGGACCTCTTCATTCTTGGTGAGCCGATTTAAAATCGCTGATGACGGAAAGCTTTATAGAGACGTACCACTATAAAAATGATTTTGGACTTTGTATTGAAAAAGTGTTGACTTCTTGTTGACTATGATTACTTTTGTTTGACTTTGGCTTTTGGCCGACATGGTGGACAGACAGTTTGTTGACTTTGTGTTGAAACGTTTCTGATGATTTTTTCAGCCTGAGTCAGAAGAAAAGCTGTCGACTTTCTAATAACTTTATGTTGAATTTCTTGTGCTGACTTCCTGTTGACGGTGTCACCAGAACGACGGTAGACGTTTTGTTTAATTCGTGTTGAGAATGTTCAATTGACTCTCTGTAGCTGCAGTGTCAATAGAAAGGCTACAGACGTTCTGTTGACTTTTTATTGAACATAGTACACCTCGACTAGATCTCAAAAGTCACTAATTTTCTCAATAGTCTCTGACAAGGTGATAACGATAAGAAGCAGCTTCAATTGTCCCGCCTCCATCGCGAGCCTACTACCCTTGACAACACTTCGGCGTTCGTGCACCTCGAGCGCGCGCGTGCAGTCAAACTACGACAGAAGGCATGCGGCGCGTGCTGGATGCCAGGCGTTCGTAAGACAGCTTTGCCGTTCTCACTTTGTAAGTGAGAATAATGACTTCAATTAACATGTTAAATAGTCAACTAGTAAAGAAAAACAAAATAACTTTTTTATACTGGAGAAACTGCCCTGACTCGCTTCGTCCTGAGTGGTGCTAGGCAGAGAAGTGATAACATTTCTTCTAGGAACCGGTTTTGTGGATGTTGTTTTAGCAAATGCGCCGAATTATCATCAGTTGTGCCAATTCTTTTCAGTAAGAGATGTTGTCCACGAACTTCGGAACACTGTTTTCCCTTTGATAAACTCCCGAGGAGAAGATGGAATATTCGGAGCCTTAATAAGTGCTGAGGTGGTGACCGGCCATATGATTACTTTTAATATATAGGGTATATAAGACTATGAAGCAGTCAGGTGTCAGTGCTTCATGGTATTCGTGTTTGTTTCTAATGTGTAGTTGTGGGATGTATGTAAGGTACCACGGAAAATCATTTCCTTTAGAAACAAAAGAAAAAATTCATTTCGCGTGTCTTTTTTACGTTGTTTTGCTGCAGCCAATTTGGAGCAGGGTGGAAAGCCATAGTAAGCTTCCAAAACGTTGTTGAATGAATAGCTAGCCTGAAAAGAATTGTGTTTCTTTTTAAACGGCTGTATTTTATTTTATTGAAAAGCTCTTTTTCATTAAAAATCTGTAGAAAAAGCATCTTGGAGGTGACAAAAAGTACCTTGACTTTTTTTATTACAAAGTGGGCCAATATTCAAAAGAAAGACAACAGAAAAGCTAGAGGAAGTCAGATGAAAAGCTATTGACGTTTAATATCCTCTGGTGACTTTTTTCAACAGCATTTCAACAGAAGAGCATCACAGTTTGTTTTGTTTTGTTTTGTAAGGGGTTTCTTGAGCAGTGAAATTTATCAAGAAACCAGCGAAACAAGAGTACATCTTCGCATCGCCACCCCATGCGGCATCGGTGCTTGGCGGCATTGAAAAACAATTTTCTTCTCTCGAAATACGCAAGAAAAACAATACTATTGTAAGAGATCTGCCGAGATAAGCATGATTGATTAGACGACTGCATACACGGTGTCATAGACGCTTATAACGGCGAGGAACAATTTAGTTCAATGGTGTTTTGTAGCGGTATTGGCATCGATTGGTCCAGAACGACTTTTTTTAAGTTTCGAAAATTTGAATGGACCGAAATGGCGATCGCCATGGCAAATGTGGTGTGATTTGCCATTCACCTCGAGTGGTTTGGTTGTATGTGCATTGGTATCTGTTTATGTCCAGCTAAAAAGCAGGGTATGCAATGGCGCTATTTTTACAAGGTCCAGTGACTTAAGTTTGAATAGCAACGCGACTTGATATGCATCTAGAAGCGACAATTTATCGAAAGTGAGTAATCCTAACCAATTTCGCCAAAGTGTGTGGCGCAACCTGTATCGATGAGAATACTTTATCAGAGAGTTTGACGTTGATACTTTCTGCAGCTGGTCAGGTTATCTTCTCGAATCTTCTTCATGGCCGCCCGTGCGAATCAAGGCATTCGAAAGTGTACTCGATCTACAACGAAATCGGAAACCTGACAAGGTAAGCGTTATTTCTGAGGGTACTCTGCTGTGAAGGTTTTGCTTGTTGGCTCGTCTTCACGGAAGACATATCGCGCGTAAGTGTGTACTTACTTGTCGTTTCAATATGTATTGCACAAAATCTTACTAAAGATTACTTTTTTTTTTGCGTTTGCTTGTACTCAGGCTTTGGTTATTTATAATTACCGTGTGTTGTTAACAACATGTTTCCGTCTAGGGGACATTTAAACTCTACATTATCAATCTGTGTCGAAATTTGCGCATCACTGATAATTAAGACGAAAACAATGTCGAGTGTGTGCGCTTGTAGTTTTCTCGAAGCACGTTTTAGAGCGATAACATTACCTGGAGAAGGTGAACACAGGGGACAAAGGACAAACACAAATCTCCAGACGTTTCTTTTCGAAACTTTGCGAAGCACATGTACCAAAATAAACAAAAGTACCGTAGCGAGCAATATACAACAGTGTTTAAATGCAACTATCGATAACATGTTCCGCCGGAAGCCCCATGACCTTAGTGCATACCTTACAATAAAAAAGTCAGTTTTGTAAAATTTTGTCTTTTCTCTGAACCTTCCTTGAAATACTTTCACAACTCCCTTCCAAGTAGCACTGAACAAAAAAAAAATAAGCGATACGGACTTCGGGTGTTCTCAAATGGGTTGTATTTGGGGCCATTCAGGTTTGTACGCTGGGAATGCATTCTCATTCGACCGTCTAACTTATTTCCTTACTAGCCCGGCCTTATACACTCGGGTCGGCTCGCTATAATCAATGCCAGGATGACAAGGGCAGGGCTTCTTTCCGAAGCCCGGCCTCGAGCATGGGCTCGTTGCATTTGATCGAGCTCTCACTGTACATGCACATTCGAAGATCACGCAACTCTTTCAACGTGTTATCGAAGGTAGGAAGCTCTCGATAGAGGCGAGACAACCAAAAGACCTCCCTGTTCTTCTCAGATTGTCTGTGACTATATAAAATTTAGGTGAAGTCCCAAATGTAGAGAACATTTACGTAACAATAAATTGACTTCTCGCTAAAATGGAGAGCAACTCCAACCCTATGAGATTGGTGACCGCTGAAAAAAATTATCCTGGTCCGGGTAGAGATCCCTGGACCTGTCCAAGACTAACAACGCACTCTGCAAACAGAGCTATGAAGGGTCACTAGATCAAACGGATGTTAAAGGGATACTTCAGCAAAATTGGAAATAAACCTGTCGTGCTCAGAAGTAGGCAGAATAAGGTCCACAATATTCGTAAATGACAATCGTGCGTTTGTATTTTAAGCCTAATGGCTGTATTTTCCGTTATAAAAGGCCCACTCTGCCAAGCGCTCGGAGAACAGCCAGCGGAGAGCACGTAACATCCGGCGCAATCGTGACATAGATTGTCTCGGGACGAGCAAAGCTACGGCGAGGTTGACGTCAACAGGATGTCCTAGCCGTTCCAGCCACGGAAGCGGCCGAAACACGCCAGCGATCGGGCCTCCGCAACTAACCCCAAAGCTGCTTTTATACGAATTTTCAGTGACGCGTTAATCTTCTATAGGAAGCGAGCGAGCCGGCCGCGTCGCGGCGGTCGCCTATTTATCGCCGCCACCTAGTGGTAGCCGGCGCAGAATCATTGGGGAGCAATGGCGACGAACAGTATAGTGGACAGCGTCCCCGTCGGGGTTAAAGGCAATTACGAATTCGGACAGCTTCTTATGTAGCCGGCGCAGGATCCTCGGGGGGAAGCAATGGCAACGAGCAGCACAACGGACAGTGTTCCCGTGGTGATTACGACGGGGTTTAAGGAGGTTACGAGTCCAGGAAGCATCTTCCATAGTGCCAATTTGACGAAGGGAAAACTACTTTATGCATTTGGCCGCCTGTACGACGTGAAGGAGGTCCGCTTCGACGGACAAATGTGCGTCACGGCACGCAGTACTCCGCAGACGAAATTGAGAGCGCCCGCAAAAAAAAAACAAAAAAAAAAAGAAAAGAAAACAACGTCGAGCTTCGCGTAATTAGAGAAGGGAGCTTTCTTAGTTGGCGTTGTGTGGACTGCGCTAATTATCTACGTTTATTACTTTTTGAACCCGTTTGACAATAACTGGGCGATTGTATTCGTGCCGTTCCACGATTCCCACTTCTATCATCCTGTTGGCTGATGGAAACATCCAAGGCTGGGCTTGGGTGGGTGACCGCATTTCGCTCCTCGATTCCGGTGAAGTATTTGCTTCATATTTTAGTTTGCTGTAGGTATCCCTGCTGTTTTATCGTCGCTAGAATAGAAAAAAAAGTTAATTGCATTATTCGTCAGCAGCTTAAAACAAAACGCGAACTGCAAGGTAAGAAACACCACTTACCTGCATCGACGCACAAGTCGCACCCAGGTCGCGTGGCACTCCGCCTCGTACGGCCTCGAAGGAAAGCCGTAGAACTTCGTGCCGTGCACGCCCTTGTACGTACTGTTGCAGCCGACCACGCAGCAATTGTTGTGGCTTTCTTGGCGCGGAATAGTCATCGCAGAAATGACAGCGCTAACCCGCTACAACGCACAACCTATTTATCGCCGCCACCTAGTGGTAGCCGACTGGCAGAAGCCCCCCGATGCAATGGACCCGTCTGCCGCGAGGGGCGCCCTGGTCGGGGCTTGAGTTACACCCGCACGGTTCTTATAATCTTGTAGAAGGACAATTTTGGCGTCTGGGATGCACAAAAGAGAGTTCCGGTGAGAGGAGAGCTCGTCCTTCCCCTCTTGTCGCGTGGTGGCCGGAGGCTAGGCAGGCATCGTCACTACATGCATGGGCGTACCAACTGGGGGGGGCAAGGGGGGCGCCTGCCCCCCCCCCCCCCCCGTTCTCAGAGTGGGGGGGCAAGGAGTGTGTTTTGCCCCCCTTCCCCCCCTGAAACAGCCGCCACTGGGCAGGGCAAACACTGGCCGGCGCTGCCCAAGGGATACTCGGGGCACCGACCCCCGACCCTGGGGGGGAGGGGGTGTTCTGGTTTGCCCCCCTCCCCCCCTCCGACTCAAAAACAAGTTGGAACGCCACTGACTACATGTCAAGGTTCTTAGACGGACATTACAAGCGAGGCTTCAGTGACATCCACCAGGCGCCCTTTGCTAATCGTTTAATTAGTCTTAAAATTTCTTTTCCTGTATTTCTTAACAAGAGATTCGCGTGCTTGGTGTGATACTGCTCTCTTGAAGACAAATAGACCAAGAAATAAGTGCCGAAATTCCGTTGTAGTATCCTTTTAGTTGCCACCAGTCTGAATTGTTCAAAGCAAGGGTGAGCTCATAATTTAATAATTATTTTTAAGGATCAGGGTTCAATAAATATGTTAATAATCATTAAACCCTGCTGTTACTTATGTAAAAGCTGATGTAACCCTGATGTAACTCATGTAAAAAGGCGTAACTACCCATTATTCAAACTTTATACGAAAGTACGCTATTATTTAGAAAATATAACGAGTACGTTACTACTTCACACAATGAAATGACTCATTACTGGTAACGCTGTTACTTGTAACGCGTTACCGCCTACACTGTGTGCGAGTCATATACTGGTATAGGTAGACTGTCCTAACTAGGACATTGTAAAAAAGAACCTGCCAAGCCTGAATAGCACGAGTGCTTGAGATTCGACTTCGAGCAGCTCTGCGATCGTTCGCTGGCATTGACAGTGCTTTCTTTCACATGGTTGGCAAACTTCGCCATCAAGGTTTGAACCTACCCTCTACGCCGCAGGGGAAACTGGTCCGGTTACTATCCTAGGACCAACGTGGCTTGCCTTGCGCACCTCACGGACCAACTGTACCAGGCGTACCAGGAGAAGTTCCTCCGTATCACGGACCTGATGGAAGTCGAGGCCTGGACAGAGATTCGCAACTGGCGCCTCAGTCTACCGGAGTACCGCTCCGTCGAAGACTTCGTGCAATCCAAGTTGGAATTGAGCCCGTGAAAAAAAAAAAAAAAAGAAAAAAAAAGCTTGTGCATGGCGTTTTTTTTTTTTTGTTTTTTTATAAGACAATGCTTGCGATAGCTTCTGTGCACTCCTCGTCCGGAGACACGCTTGTTGGGCCTGAAAAAAGTAGTTAATAAAGATGTTCATTGCCGTCCACTTAGTAATCAATTGGGATCAGATTGATTGAAACCAAAGGAAACGAAAAGAGGGACACTAGGTTCAGTAGCATAGCCAGGATTTTATTTCGTGAGGAATTCAAAGCACTATCCCCCCTCCTCCCGAATGCCGAAGCAAGGTTAACCGGCGTTACGGACGTCCACGCAAAGATTAGGGAGGCGCTGTTAAGATAAAATGGGTGATGCTGCATTGTTATTTTTTTAAAAAGGAGCAGGCTTCATTTGGATTCCCTGTTCAACTGCCGTCGTAGTTGCGGCCCACCAACTTTAAAAGCTTCCTCACAGCACACAACTCCCTCCGCTTTTTGAGGTACCACTGCATTACCAACGCGTGCCGGCCAGACAAAACAAAAGGATAGCTATACTGTCACACATCCTTAAAACAGTAACAGAAGTCAGAGAAAAACAGAACTCTGCTGACGCGTCGTTCAAGCAGCTCGAAACCAGACTCAGCACTATTGAAGGCAAGCTCTCTGATATAGGTGAAACACGTAAAACGGTCCAAGCGTTGGAAAATGAAGTCTGCAATCTTCACTCACAAATGAAGTCCCTTGCGATAAAATTTGATAACCTAGAAAATCGCTCTCGGAAAAATAACCTTATAGTTAGAGGCATAAAAGAGGCGGAGCACGAAACAGAACATACTTTCCTAAACAATATTAATGAAAACATCTTTCAGGGTATTCTGGGTGCTAAGGCAGAGACTATTGAAAGAATGCACAAGTTGGGTATGAAGCAGCCTAATTGGGATCGTCCGGTCATAATAACTTTCAAAGACCACAAAGAAAAGGCCGCAATAATGAAAAACTGTCACAAGTTGAAAGGCAGTAAGATAAGTGTATCTGATGACTACTCAAAAGACTTCTTGAGATTCGTAAGAATCTTTGGGACAGTGCGGCAGAGGAAAAGAAGCAAGGAGCCAAAGTAAAGTTGCTCTATGATAAACTTAAGGTGAACAACACCACCTATAGCTGGGACGAAAATACCCAGAGCAGATACAAGTGCCACGCGTCACTGTCCCTACCTATCAATGACGCTGAGGGCAATGCGTGACAAAGGGCGTTACCAGAAAAAAGGCCGGGTTCGGAGGTAGCTGACTGTAACCGTGAATTCATTTTATTAAACATTAATGCACGAAGTGTGGTAAACAAGGTTGTTGACCTCGAGAGCCTCATTTTGGCTTACTCGTCTCATGTTATTGTTGTCACGGAGACCTGGCTGAATAATGACATTGCAGACCACGAAATAGTTCCACCGGGATACCGGATGCTTCGAAAAGACCGTGATAGACGAGGGGGAGGTGTGGCAGTGATCCTTAGGGACGAACTCCTCGTAACCAGACTAGCTGACATTCCCGATCTGGAATGCCTGTGGGTTAAGACAGCTTTGGGAGAAGTAACTATAGTAATAGGAGCATGCTATCGCCCCCCTAACTCTGATTCTTCATTCTTTATCAAGTTAAACGAGTACATTACGAACAATAATTTAGGGGAGCGGAACCTAATCCTTGCAGGGGACTTCAACACGCCTGAAATTGATTGGTCGTCAACCTACCCAGTTCCGCTTTCGTCACAGGCTGAACCTTTGGTTGACATGGCTTTTTTTCACAACCTGACCCAGCTAGTGAAGTGTGAAACTCGCGTGTGTGGTTCCGCCAGGTCTACGTTAGACCTAGTATTCGTCAGCAACACTCTAGCACAGAAAGACCCTGTCATTTCCGCTCTGGACGCGATTTCTGACCACAAAACAGTTCACCTGTCCCTTTCCATCGCTGCGGAACCTGAGAAACAGAGCAAAACAGTATATGTCTCTGATTTTGCACAGGCGAATGATGTTTGTATTCTCGACGAAATGGAGGAGGCTTTCTGTGAGTTTTCAGCCATTAGCGACTCTCCTCAATGCAATGTGGATGAGCTCTGGCTTTTTTTTAAATCATTGGTACTACGGTGCATCAAAGATTATCTGCCTAAAATTAAGAAAACTACGCACAGAAAGAATCCCTGGATGACTCGCGACATCATCCACTTGGTACGTAAAATTAACAGAGTAAAGAAAAGTTGTAAGAGACACCCTAACAACGGCAGGAGCCGTAATCTGGACGACCTCAGACAGCAGTTGAAAGAAAGCATTGAAGCGGCTAAACAGAAATACCATTCTGAAACACTGCCAAATTTTATGCTGACATCACCAGATAAATTTTGGAGGTATCTCTCGCCTCGTAAACTGACGATCAGTAGTCTTAAAGTGGCCGGGGAGCATGTGAGTGACAAAGCAAAACTGGCAAACTGTTTCAATCTCTTTTTTAAATCTACCTTCACAATAGATGATAACACACACCCCACTTTTGAGGCGCCGACGAATATCCCTCCGTTGAACGACTTAACAATCTGTGAAGTTGGAATCTTTTTTTTGTTGCTCGATCTCGACGTTAAAAAATCTACCGGAATAGACAACGTTCCGAACGCTTTTCTACGCCGTTATGCCGAATGGTGTGCAAAATACCTTACAGTTATTTTTCGGAGGTCTCTAGAAAGCGGCAGGGTACCCACAGAGTGGGAGTACGCAAAAGTTATCCCTGTTTTAAGGCCGAAGATCGTGAGCTTGTGACAAATTACCGACCAATTTCACTGTTGTGTACTGCGGGGAAAGTATTGGAACATGTATTATTTACGCATATTTGTCATTCTTTAGAATCAAGTAACTTACTGCATCCTCGGCAACACGGTTTCCGTAAAGCTTTGTCTACTTCCACTCAGTTGGTTGAAACCACGCATTATTTTTCTGAAGTCTTAAACCGTCGTGGCCAGGTGGACGTGGTCTTCTTGGACTTCTCAAAAGCTTTCGATCAAGTATCCCACCCGAAGTTATTAATAAAACTGAAAGCAATCTTAAGGAACGACATGATTACAAATTGGATTAGTGACTACTTAACACTTCGTCGACAGGGGGTTGTCATAGATAGATCGATTTCCGAACCTGTTTTCGTTGACTCTGGGGTGCCTCAGGGATCCGTTCTTGGACCGTTACTTTTTTGGATATTCATTAATGACATATTAGATGATATACCAGTCCAGATTAACCTTTTCGCCGACGACTGTGTTCTTTACACTGAAATTTCTAGCCCTGAAGACCAGTTTTTGAGGAAATGTTCGTTTACTAGTGGTTTACACAATTAAAATAAAAGGAATCATCTCGGAACTAATAAAGGTCTGTTCACATGATGCATCTTTTAGGCGCGCAACAGTTTCGCGACACTTAAGTTTCGCGAAATGTGCTCGTTCACACGTACCGCTTCACGTGCAACAACGATGACGTTTTGACTCGCGAAAATAGTTTGGGTGTTGACCATAAAGTGGTGCTTTAGTTGAAAGCCAACATCATCATCCTGTGGTATTACACCTGAGACTGCGGTGGAAGAAATCGGAAGAACTTTCAGTAGAAGGAACAGACACAGAGAACGTCTCTGTGTCGGTTCCTTCTACTGAAAGTTCTTCCGATTTCTTCCACCGCAGTCTCAGGTGTAATACGACATGATTAGCTACCACCAGCTCGCCTGCACTCTCATCGTCTTTTCATCATCATCATCACCATTAGCCATTCAGCGTCGTGATCTCCATCTCCCGCCACATTCAAAGAGTCAAAACGCAAGCGAGCTGGTGAACAATCATAATTAAGAAATAAAACCTTAAGACAAAGAAACAAAAAGGGACATACACACCACCGTCTTAAAACCAGCACAGCATACAGCTGTCATTTACTTCCATTTACTTAATTTACTCTTAAATTGTCATTTACTAGGTTTTGAATTGTCATTTACTGTCATTTACTTTATTTACTGTTGAATATGTATAATTTGGATGGAGGTTGACAAAGAAAAAGACTGTTGTGGAAGTAAATGAGAGCTGTACGCTGTGCTGGCTTTGAGACGGTACTGTGTACGTCCCTTTTTGTTTCCTTGTCTCGAGGTTATATTTCTTAATTATGACTATATATAGACGCGAATTATCATCATCACCAATTACGTCTTCGTCCATCGCTGAATTTTTTTTTCCGATATGCTACTCACTTTTCCTTCAGTGGTGCTTGACGTGCTTGCGGAAGCGCCGGCAGTATCCATCGTTCGTGGTTTCGGTTTTTTTCGGAATTGGCTCGGCTACAACACCGGCAGTGAAGTGGTCTTCTCAAACAGCTCGCTCCCCCCTCAAAGGCCACGTGAGAGCGTTTCTGAGCGGCCATTGGCGGCGCCCTCAGAGTGATTGACAGGACTCGGCAAAGGTTCAGCAAAAGCTCGCTCCAGAAGCGAGGTGTGCGCGCAACTTTATTTAGATGCGCGCGTCCTTTTCGGACTCGTTCAGACGGCGCAACTATTTCGCGAAACTACGTTTCGCGACACTAGATGCGCGAAACAAATGCATCGTGTGAACGGGCCTTAAGAGACCAACACTCACAGAACGCATTGTAACCAAGAGGAAACACGGAGTTGCTTTCACTGAAGTGTTCACTGCACACGCGAGAGGTTCTCGCATTTCGCTTTCCTTTTTCCAATTTGATGAGATCTCCCTTTCTTAGTTTGAGTTTGTCCTAATCCCAAAAAACAAATACACCCTATTCGCCGCGGTAGAAGCTGTCGTGCGTTAAAGCGCTGCATACTCTATTTTCCTCATTCAGCTTTTCTACGGGATAGAGAACAGCACACCACCATCCGACCACTTCGACACCTTAGCTCCAAAAGTGTTGGTTGGCACGACTACGCGTGCCAAATGCGGTTTAAAGATTTGGTAAAACGTCCTACTACAAATATCACTTCACCAAATAAACACA